TCCCAGAAAATTGTTTTGAGTATCGCCCTCACTTAGCAATTAGTTAGGTAAAATTACACAATTATGCAACGCTGAGAGCACCTCCGGCCTATTTTCCCTGGCGCTTTTCAAAGTTTCACTGCGTCTAGGGAAACTTTGATAGAGTAATACTTTATAACAATGAAGCTTTCAAATGTTGCAATATTTTGAAAGTTTTTGCTGAAAATGTCACTTTTTTCTGTTCAACTTTTTAAACTTTACTATAGATTCGTAACATTTAGAAAGCGAGAGGGAAAAACCCCTTCTCAAAAATTTTCTCTGTCAAGAAAACCACCGCAAAATGGAAAAAAATCGTTTTTTTGCTCGGCACAATAAAAGCGCGAAAAACTCGGCAATTTCATAGTTTTCAGATGTACTTTTGTTTCAGGTTGTAGTCCGGGCAGTCACGCGCTTCTAGGCAAAACCAGAAGGCCGCGAACCGCATTCACTTCCCAACAACTGCTGGAACTTGAGAAGCAATTCCGACAAAACAAGTACCTATCGAGGCCGAAGAGATTCGAAGTGGCCACGAATCTGATGCTGACTGAGACGCAGGTAAACGCAGCCAACCAAGTCGGATTTTTCGCTTTGGCAAACAAAAGGGCGCAAATCCTAAAATATGACGCCTGTCCGGTTGTTTGATTTTATCCTTAACCGAAAAACATTACTCAGACGGCGTAAGAAACTGTTTTCGGCTTTCCGAACAACACTTTTCTCCAAGAATCGACCGGATTGCGATTTGTTTCCTTGACGCGGAAAACAACACCGGATTGGGGATTTGATGAAACTAATCATTCCAATGGCATTTCTAGGTGAAAATCTGGTTCCAAAACAGGCGAATGAAGTGGAAGCGCAGCAAAAAGGCTCAACACGACGCCAAATCCTCCAAGGAAAGTGAGGCGAACAAGCCGATCAACCCAACGAACCAAAAGCCCAGCTCTTCAACGGCAAATGCCGACGTTTTGGACGCATCGGCCGTCGTCAGGCCGCACAGTAACGAATCGAAGGCTCTACAGGACGACGAGCTGCTCTATCGGCCCTATGTTGGATAACTAGTTTGCTGAGCAGTCGGAACGGGCGACTGAAAAAAATGTGATGGTCCGCTGATGTACAGCTCCTACTAGTCAAAAGTGCAAGTTTATTCGTAATTGTCTTTGTAGAGGGTGGGCGAAAGCTCGTGGCAAATGATTGACTCACCCTGCATTGTACAGATGCTGTATTTACGCGTATCGCGCTCAATGAACGTACGGCAACAGCTTTGTAAATATTCCAATCCAAGTCATTTATTGTCTCTATTTATCAATCAAAATACGTACCTCATCTATTTGTTGTTACAACGTTGCCATCTCTATCAAAGTTTCCCTAGGCGCAGTGAAACTTGGAAAATCGCCACGGAAAAAAGGCCAGAGGCGCTCTCAGCGTTGCTTGATTGTGTAATTTTACTTAACCACTTGCTAAGTGAGGGCGATACTGAAAACAATTTTCTGGGAGAGAACTTTGTTCGGAAAAAACGCGAATTTAACAGGCGCATAATTTCCGCAAAATCGCTCTAACCGGAAAAATAACGAAAAACGATAGAATGGAGCTTTGTTCAACGAAATCACTACAGTTTTTCGCTGGAAAATGGCACAATTTTTGAGTTTCTCTTATCGTCAGGCAAGTTTCAAAAAATTTTCAAAAAAGCCCGTCGTTTTTGCCAATAACTAACCGTTTGGCAGAATTGGCAAAGTG